CTGATCTTGATCGGGATTTTTTTTGGGGGGTGTGGAAAATGTCCGGATTTCTGTCTGAGAGCCGTCCCACTCAGACCCTCAGATCCGTTTTGATCCGTCTTGAGCATGTATATAGTTAGTGAAAGGTAACCATGCCAGACTAAGTAGACAGAATGTTGAAAGAGGCACCTTCAGCCATAGACACACAGTTCTTCAGCCATAGACACACAGTACTGTCCTCTTGATCATGTTATCAACAGGTAATGGAAAAGATATTTACATATTTCACAAGCCATTTCTTTTGCGTTTCCATTTATCATCGATGACAATGCTCCTGCCTGATGCTCCATTTTTGAGCTTGACTTGTGGCTGAAATATGTTCATTGCTTGTTGTGATGGAATGAATACCAAGAAATTCTTGCCTTGTGATTTTGTTTATTGCAATATAGAATTTTACATTACTATGATAGCACTAGAGTATTGTCCTACCGGGGGATATCCTTCTCGTTGTATTCTTGGTTTATGCATTTTGTAAATTTCCTAGCGCTAGTTTGCTGTCCTTTCTCACATTCCAATCCTGTCTGCAGCTCTCTTTCAAGTTTGGCGTTCTTGGATTTGAGTTGGTTATTTAATGGATAACCCCAACGCAATGGTAATGTAGGAAGCTCAATTTGGTGATTATGCTTATGGGGCTCAGGTATATTTGATCAGTTCTTAATTAGAGGAGAATCAAAGTGGCTGCGACAAACAGGACTTGTGGTGATGGCAAGATTGGAGCGTTTTCTTCAGGTATTTCGTTAAAGAATTTCCTTTCCTCTTTACTTCCAGATCAGCACAATCTCTATCCATATTTTTTCTTTCTACTTTACTATTGCGATTGTTGTGAGAATCACCTTCTTTTATGTATGAAAGGTTAACTTGGTGCTTGTGACCTTCCAATATTTTTAATTGTTTAACCCTTTCTAATTATATAAAAGTCTGTTGTGCTTCCCCTCTCTTTTTCAGTTGGCAATTGGCTTGCTGAGTCACTGAAATTTTATGTTCTTCGTGGTTAAAATAGTGCACTGAGATTTTTCGTTTTGGAGTTCTGAAAAATTAGCTTATCTTTTATTACCTCATTGGTGTATTCTTAATTAGGAACCTGCATTTTGGGAGTTGAGTTGGTTTAATTTGGATATTTGGCTGATATAGATTTCATTGAACATTGTGCCAGAAGAGTGATGACAACCCTTTGCTTACACCTGAGATGGATCCTACTCTTAGGAAGCAAATTCAAGAATGCAATTGGCAAGTTGTGAATGCTTCAACTTCAGTTAATTACTTCGATGTTCTGAGGCGTCAAGTGAGTTAATTAATAAGTTATTAAAAAAATTCAAATTTTCTTGAATTGACTTGTTCAGCAGAAACTTTATTCAATTTTACGCTCTATCTCCAGATTCACAGGGAATTTTGAAAACCTCTCATTGTGATGTCTCCCCAGAAACCTTCTTCATCATAAAGATTGTAGATACAATCTATCTTAGTTTGATGATGTAAGAAACCACTCAGGTTTTGACAAGCAGGGGACTAGATTTAAGCGCTTATCAAGGACCAAAATCTGCACTCTGATCGTCAAGAAGGTAACGGGCGTTTGATACTTTGCTCTGGGAAGGCATGCTACATATTTGATGCTTATTTACTTTCAAGTATTACTCAATGGCTTCTTATCGTTGGTAACTTCTAAAGGGAAAAAAATTACTTGTTGAAAACACAGACAAATGGTGACTCCAATATACATCTTACTTGGAAACTGAGACTTACATTAGTAGTTCTTCAGTGTGACCCTATCACGTCTCCCCATTGAAGTCCCTCCGAATTTCTTTAGTAAGCAATTCACAACAAATCCAACGATTAAATGTAAACATTATATTGTCCTAAAACCTGTAATTTCTATGCATTTTTTCTGCATATGTTTTTGTTGAGTAACTTGTTATGGGAGGCTGTATGCAGTCTCGGTGCATTCTGCTCAATGCAATAAAATTACTCATCAACGTAAATTTGTTAGAAAATAATTCTCATTCTTAGCCGTTCTCACCAAAAGTTATAATTTGTATCTGCTGTTCGGATTTCTTGACAAACAAAAACTATATTCTCATATTCTGATTTGCATCTGCTGTTTGGATACTACAACTTCTTTAATCTCTCATATTCTTGAAAGCAGTGCTGAGGTAAGACTTCTTTTTTTGAATTTATTTTGCAGATGCAGACCCACTTCCATTACTTAATGTTGTTTTTCATGCACTTTATCAGGGCTATATGTCGTTTTCATCCACACAAAATACCTACCTGTTAATTGTAATGGGATGATTTGATAATGATGTTTTGTTATCTACAGCTCCATTTAGAGAGTCTGAGATGGATTGCAATTATAAAGGCCTTCTACGCTTTCATCAGAATTGGAATTTCCACAGAATGCCTGAGGAATCACACGTCCCCTTGTGGAAGCTGAGAGGGATTGCATTTTTAATTTTCAATGCTCATATTTTCATTTTCTCCTCTCTTTAATTAGGTGATAAATAGAAATGAACTGTATCTGTTCTCTTATTATATTGATTTTTGACTTCGCCAGAAATTTCTGATTCCACAGCGGCACTTTCTCCACTCAAAGGCTAATTTGGGATCAACTTGCACGGTAAGTATAAAGAATCTTCATGTCTGTAATATTTATGTTCTCACACTAAGCCAAAAGGAAAATTGCTTGCTTCACTGTAGAAGATGATCTTTCACTTCACCTATTGCCCTGCTACTGTTCTTTGTTGGGGGGTTTTGGGATCTTATATTGTAGAGTATCCATTTATTTATAATCTATAATATTGGAGCATCTTGTTTGTTTATTTTTAAACTTCAAAAAAGTTTTATCATGTCACCCAATTTTGAATTATTGTTTTATTGAATCATTATCATTGATATGTTTAATGGAATAATGGTCTGACATGTTCGTTCAACTAAGACAATATGAACATGTCATTTCAGTATTTCATTAATAATATTATAAAAATGATTTAATAGAAGCATAATTCAATGGCAAGAGATTTAATTGAAATTATCCAAAGTTTTGAGAGTAACTCCTTTCAAAACTCAAATTGACTGAATTTATAATATAGTTTAGTTGATAATATTTATAAAGGGTTTGAACGTGCATGTGATTTTAGACCTTTTTCTGCCCCTTCTGATTTCTAGAGTTTGAGGATTTCATTGGGATCATTTTAATTGTTTTAAATGATTATTTTTTATTTTTCTTTTCCTCGGAACTGTTCAAATCTGAAGATTTAAAACTACCAGAGATTTTTGGTTTGCTTGTTTGTTTTAGTGCTAAAAAGTTGTACATAGGACTCGATTGTACCAAACGGTTAAAATCTTGGTAAGAGTTTGAACAATAATTTTAAGGCATTAGTAACATTTTTAACTTTACTATTTTTACGTATAAATTTCGTTATTTTGTTTTTGTTTCTTTATGTGTTTTCAAAACTCAACCCAAGTTTTGATTTTTTATTTATTTAATTTTTATATATATATTTATTTTTTGTTTGTGAAAAATTTAGCTAAGAATTTAAATATATTTGAGAAAAAAATAAACGAACGGTCTGAAGCTGCTGATTTTAGCTGTCAAGAAATAAACTTTGATTAGACCGTGAGGAAATGGATTAGTTTGGTTTCTTTAACATACTATAGTTTTCCACCAAACTATTTGCCCATTTTTATCTTAAAAAATGAAAAATTGCAGGAAATGATGATATACTAAATGATTTTTTTAATAATTTTATTTTAAAGTAGAATTGCAGGAGATAATGGCAGTGTGGATGCATTTTAAAAATGCAGAAAGAAGTTTCATTTTAGCAGAATATGAGAAAAAGCTAACAAGGTACGAGCTAGTTTATTTTAAAATTTGAGGTTTATCAAATTTTAGGTGGGTTTATCTTAATCATAATATTTGTTAATTTAAAAGTGAACTCAAAATATTTTGATGTTGATCACTTCAATTATGCTGGCTATTTATTTAAAATATTAAATTATCCCTATGTTAAATATTATAGGATTATCCTTGAAATATAGAAGAATAAGTTGGACATATTTCATTTGTACTTTGGTTTCTTTCTTTCATTTTAAATCAAAATTAATGGAGGTAAATTAGGCTATTTAGATGTTATCTTCACTCTACCGAATAAGAAATCTTATGTTTAAATTTTTTATGTGATATTTTGTACTAGTACTTATGGTTTTTATATTAATTTTTTTTAAAAAAATTTCAACTTTATGTCACATTTATTCTCAATAAGCATCGAATGGCCACTTTATTACTAGTTATTAAAAAATACCTAAACAGGGAATTATTTTCAAAATTATATATTCCTATTTTGTTCCTATTTGTAATTTTTATTTGAAAAGTTTAATGATTGTGCCCCTTCATCACAATCTCGATTGAAAATAAATTTAATATACACGAACTTGAATATTTTTTTAAAAATAATTTTGCATTTTTTTAACATTTTCAAATATTATATTTCATTTTTTTTTGTTTATTTCTCCTCTGTTTTAATAAAGAAAATAGAATTGTCTTTTACAATTATTTCTTGCCTTTTGTTATATCTTTTATGTTGAAAAAAGGAATGAAAATGAGCTTGGTAACAATTCCTTTTTTCTTTTTTCTTTTTTTAAATATGAAAAATAAAAAATTTATATCATATTTAGTTTTTAAATATTTTATTATACATTTTATCAGTAAAAAAGGTGATGGAATAACGTTTTTATTCAATGTTTGAAAACAGGAAATTAAAACAAGAAGCGCTACCATTTATTGTTTTGAAAATATGTGTACAATTTTGCAAGTGCTCCTTAACCAAGAAACATGAAAGGTTATTAAATTTTCATGTTTCTTAAAAATTGAAAACAAAAAATAGAAAGCTAGAAAACTAGAAAACTCTCCTCTTTTTTTTTCTTTTTTTTTTTAATTATGCATGCAATTTTTTGTCGTAATTATTCTTTGTGGACAGTTGAGGACAACTCAGTAGTTTAAAATATATCGAAATTCACCTCTTTGTCAAATTCATATACTTTTACCATTACCCACTATATTCAAATACTTGAATTAGATGTGATTCTCAAGAACATATCTATCTCCTACCGTGTTTACCACTCTCCAGATCACAATGTTGATTAAAAGGTGATTTTAATATAATACGATTAGGATGAACCTTTTTTAACACTATTGGCAAATTTCATTTTGATTCCCTTAGTTTATTTAACTGATAATCTCAACTCAAGATAAATGCTTTATCTAGAAGGATATTGATAATCTGATTTAGTATTTCTCCAAAGAAATATAAACTTAAGACAAAGAGGTTATTCCAAGACATCTAATGTTTGATGATGACATAAATCCATTATAAAAAGCATGCTGAAACTTCTGCTTTTGTTGTGAATCTTTCCTATTAACACACACTTAGAGAGAGAGAGAGAGACAGAGAGAGATGGGGCAAGAAGGTCAAATGTTTGAGAAGGTAAAGCCATATTTGGGAGCAATTGCACTAAGATTCGCCTCTGCAGGAATGTCTATTATCTCTAAGGCTGCTCTAAACCAAGGAATGAATCAACTTGTTACCATTGTTTATCGTTACACTATTGGTGCCATTGTTGTTGCTCCTTTTGCCTTTGTCTTGGACAGGTATTATTTTCCTCTCTCTCACTCTCTCTTTATGCTATATTTTGTTAAGCCTTTAATCATCATGACCCCATTTCAATGGCAGGAAAATAAGACCAAAGATGACTCTTAGGATCTTCGGCAAGATCCTTCTACTGGGATTGCTCGAGTAAGAATTCGACCGCAATGTGACTATCCTGCATAACTATTATAATACTGAAACTTAAGCTCCATTTCTCTCTCACAGGCCTGTAATAGCTCAGAGCTTGATTTACTCTGGTACTAAATACACCACTGCAACTTTTGCAACTGCTATGTGCAATATTCTTCCTGCCTTTGCGTTTCTAATGGCTTGGATTTGCAGGTACTTATCTGTACACAAACTCTTAATACACGCACATACATCCATTGTTTTCTCTAATTTATCATCATTATGTTCTGTTTTGAAGAATGGAGAAGGTGAATATTAGAAGATTACGAAGCCAGGCGAAGATTTTAGGCACTTTAGTGACAGTAGGAGGAGCAATGATGATGACTCTTATAAAAGGACCCATGTTGAATTTGCCTTGGACAAAAGAGAACCACATCCCTCACTCTTATTCCACCCTTGCAAACAAGCAAGAACCTGTTAAGGCTGCCATTGTTATTACCATTTCAAGTATCTGTTCCTCAGCCTTCACCATTCTTCTGGTACAACTCCCTTTTGCCAATTGTTATAGCAATAATTTGTCATGATTGAGAGACTAAAATTCTCGTTCCATTGGTTCTTACAGGCGCATACAATAAGATCATACCCCGCTGAGCTTACACTAACAACTTTCATATGCTTGGCTGGAGCTGTGGAAAGTACTATTTTAGCTTTAGCATTTGAATGGAACAATCCAGCTGCATGGGCCTTACATGCAGATTCCATACTCTTAGCTGCCCTCTATGGTGTAAGTTTTCATTTCTCAACTAAATTTTCTCATTTAAAACTAAAACTGAAGCCCATGCCAATGTTGCAGGGAATAATATCTTCTGGAATTGCTTATTATATCCAAGGAGTGGTAGTGAAGCTAAAAGGACCTGTGTTTGTAACTGCATTCAATCCTCTCAGCATGGTCGTAGTTGCTGTGATAAGTTCATTCATATTTTCCGAGAGACTGCGCTTAGGAAGGTAATCTACCTCCGGAATAACATTTTCTCCTCACTTTTTCCTATCTGATATCCTGATCCCATGTTTCTTCTGCAATAACAAATATAAAAGGACACTGTGTTGGGTCCCATGTTGAGGATTGTCTGGAGGGAGTCCCACATTGGCTAATTTAAGGAATAATCATTGATTTATAAATAAGGAATACATCTCGGTTGTTATGAGACTTTTTGGGAAAGCTCAAAGCAGAGCCATAAGTGGACAATATCATACCATTATAGAGATTCGTGATTCCTAACATCCTACCCCACTAATTCGGGTGATAATTAAGGTTTATTTTATTAAACTTACGTTAAGATTCGTAAGTGTTATTTTGAACCGATGCCCTTTATCCAACCAAGAATTTATCGGGTAGATTTGAGTAGGTAGGCAAATGAAATGGGTTTCTACAAAGAAAAGCACTTAGAAATTTCATTTTCAGGGTTATTGGAGCAGCTGTGATAATTACAGGCCTTTACTTGGTTCTGTGGGGCAAGAGCAAAGATCAGCTTCCATTAAAAGTGGGGAATGACGAATTACCAACTTCACACCAAAACTCAGCCACCACAAACCAGCAGCAGCCAAAGCCCTCAGATCAGCAGCTTCTAAAACCGGATGCCCCAACAGCAGCAAGCAACTCCAGTGCTTGAATTATTGGAACTCAGCCCTCCAAAGGAGAAACAATTGATATTATTGGAACTTCCAAGGCATGGTTCCATGAAGCCCAATTGATTCTTTCTTTTTCAAGTGTTTTATTAGAGATTGAATTAAACTTTTCATTTATTAATCCCATTAATGGCCTATCCAGTGCACTTGATCCCAAGTTTGCAACACTTTTTAAGAATGAAAATGGATAAGAAATTGCAGTGGCTGGCTGGCTGGCTGGCTGTGTTCTAAATCCTAGTCACCTCATATTCCCTACCCTCTTTCTTTATTGAAATATGATGTGGATGCAATTTCACAATGGATATCTAATATGGAAATGGAAATATGAGATGGAATACCATTGCAGCAATAAATATAAATTTTCTTTCATTAATTATAGACTTTATTAATCTTCTTCCCACGTCAAATATTGATGTCCGCCAATATGTATTAAAATTGCACTTGCCATCGTCATTTCCTATAAAGATTTACACACACTAACTATCATTTCCAATCTTAATAAATGTTAATAATTTGGTAGATTTTTTTTTTTGTGTAAGAATAAATTAATCCGTCTGTTATCTCTTGAGTATTTTTATTTATGTATGAAGACTCTCCACTCGACGCCATTGGATAATTAAAAAATTAGACATTCGTCGACAATTAAAAAATTAGACATTCGAATTTCGTTGAAGAAAAAAAAACTGGTGAAGAGAGGAGAGAAGGCATTGTGTTGGAAAAAATGAATTGGATTAGGTCACTTTTTGATAGTTTGTATTAAAAAAAAATGGTGGGTAGCTTGAGCCACCATGCAAATGGATGAGGATATAGCTTTTGTTTTTGGTAGAGTTGTAAGCTGCTACGAAAGTTGTATCGACACCATGAAATTTATGGTCATCTATTCAAAAGCATTGATTAAAAATTCAGCGTTATGATTTCTTTATCTTGGGTGTTCTTATATTTTATCAATAACCTAATTAGCTTTGACTTTTCTTTGTACCAAATCAATCCTAGATCCATGCATCTTGCTTTATTTGTTAAGATATACATATAAAATGACTGAATATCATTCCTCAAGCTTTATATCCGTTCATCTAACGTGGGATAAGTCCAATTCTCTGCGTTGCACAGTGTTCCGTACTAGCTCTAATACTATTTGTAATGAATCAAGTTCACAAGTTTTTAAAACGAATCCGCTAGAGAGCGTATTTCATACTCTTATAAAAAAATGTTTTGTTTGTTTCTTTCATTAATTTCTCCTACTTTTCTACCGAAAAAAAAAGCTCACAATTCACTCACCAAATCACTCTCAAAACCTTTCAATGGAGGTTGAAAACATCCTTTTCTGTCACTGCCCACGAAACAACTTCGCGACAGCACCTTTTTCTTTCACTTGCGACAGTGCTGTGGCCGCCTGCAGTGGCACCATGGCACTCCATGTTAAGAATTTTTGGCTTTACCAGGTCCAAAATTTTGCCTTGGCCTAAGTCGAGTGTCACGGTTATACTTGTTTAACGTGTGTTGTCTATAGTCGCATATCGGATGCCCCGATCATGCTTGTCTAAGACGTGTTGTCTATGGCCGCATGCCCATTCCAAACCCATTTTACATGCTTTCTTCCTAGATAGGTTTTTACTATTTCATGTTGTGTCAATATGAGGGTGTATGACAGTTCACCTAAATCACGTCTACTCTCATTGGGACTAAAATGCTCCAAAACATACCATAGGTGATATGACTAGTTTTCTCTTTCTCCTACTCGAGTTATATGTTATCAAAGTCGTTGTTGTTACCTAATCACTTTTAGCTTTATAACATTGCTTTCTTTCAAATTGTTTTTAACGTATTTCCTCGCTCATGTTTTCTAAAATGATTTCTCTCAAACGTGGCTCGACACTCGACAATACACCAACGTTGTCCATAAAGTTTGAATGTCTCATGGCTGACTTGTTCGCTAAGTTAGAACAAATGCCACACAATCATTGTCCTACTGTTGCAAGTGTACGATTGTGACACCGAGCAACACATGCCCACATTCTAATGAACTCCTAGTGATGCTCGGTTCAAACTTAACCTAATCATATTACATAGCATTACCCTTTATTCAAATTTATCATGAAAGGGTGATTTTTGTCGTAATGAACTCTCAAATTCAATTTCCCCACCTCTTTCTTCATGGAAAAATGAGATGGATTTGCATAGTTTCAAAATGGAAATATGAGATGGACAGCATTTCATTTCAAGAGCATGTGGCCTCCATCAATCCAATCCAGACAGGTTGACCAATGTCTCATGTGTTCTAGGTTGTCTCATGTGTCCTAGGTTTCCTCCAATCAGCACAGGTTGATCCATGTTCCACGCCACCTTTCATGATGCATGTGTACGAGGAATCTCTCTTCGTGTTTAACAATATGGTCGGGTTTTCGAGGTCGGTCAAAATCAAAATTAATTTGGCTACTCCATTTTGTAACCAAATGATTAATTTCTCTAATCTTTTTGTCGATAGTACATGTTTTATACCAATACCTACGAATCATGAGCGTCTTTTCTGTGCTCCTCTAACATTTCCATTCTCAACCCGAAATCTCACGGTCAGAGCACCCTAAATCGACAACAAGACCAACCAACCAAAAAAAGAGGAATAGAAAACAAAACTCGATTGAACGTGGGTAAGCAAACTAGATTAAGGATATCAATTGCTGTAAGACAAAGAAGGTCAATAATCATTGTGGGTATGGTTCGCCCAACCACTTTTGACATTCTCAAGGCTCTGTTGACTCAAAAGAAAAGCGTTCACCGAACTAAACCCTAATTTTAATCGTATTGATCCAAATCTATAGATCATTATCTCTATCTTACAAAGTATAGTGGGACAAAGGGTGAAATTTTTGCTTTTTTTTTTTTTAAAGAAAAACGTTGACCTATAAGAGCAAGAGAACTCCATGGTATAATATCGTACGTGGATAAGGTTTCATGGCTTTGCTTTGGGCTTCCCAAAAAGCCTTGTACCAATTGAGACGTATTCCTTTACTCATAAACTCATGATCATTCTCTAAATTAGCCAACGTGCGACTTACTCCCAACAATCCTCAACACTAATATTCAGCTTGTATTGATTTGGGCTAGTTTTATTTAAATATAACTTGCATTGATTTAAAAGATTCTCCAAACATAATAATCACATAAAACCCAAAGAACCTTAAATATTTTGAGACATATCTGAACACTGTCAGAAACAGCTCTAAACAAACAAGCAACCGAACTTTTTTGAAACATTTATCATTTGAAACAACCAATCATTTCCTTAGAACAATTTACACAAAGCCCTGTATGAAGGAACTAAGTGGCGGTTTGAAGCAGGCAAAGCCATATTTAGCTGCCATCCTTCTAAGATTTGTAGCCGCTGGTTTGGTTGTGATAGCCAAGATTGCGTTGAATGAAGGCATGAGCCCACAGGTGTATTCGCTCTATCGTTATTGTGTTGCTGCCATTGTTGTAGCTCCATTTGCCCTTCTCTTTGATAGGTTTCTCTCTGGCTTTAGATCTGATCTGTTCTTCCTTTGGGAAATGGCTTGAGCTGATGAATTTATTGGCAGAAGAAGAAGACCAGAGATGAGTTGGTGCATGTTTGCAAAGATTCTGCTGCTGGGCTCTATGGAGTAAGCACTTATTTGTTTTTGGTACTAGATTTTTTAAGATTGTGTTGTTATGTTTTTTAAGGTTGTTGTAATGATGGGAATGCAGCTCTGTGGTTATCCCTAACACGTATTTCACTGGTTTGAAGTTTGTATCTCCAACTTTCTCCATTGCTATGTCCAATGCTGTTCCTGCACTTTCCTTCTTCTTCGCTTGGATTTTTAGGTATATTACTCTCGATCATTCATAAGATGTTTGAATTTTATTTTGATCCTGCGTGAGATCCCGCATTTTTTATAAGGGTGAGGAAATCTCTTCCTAGTAGACACGTTTTAAAACAGTGAGGCTGAGGGTGATATGTAAGGGGCCAAAGCGGACAATATTTGCTAGCGGTGGGTTTGGACTGTTACAAATGGTATGAGAGCCAGTAACCGGACGATGTAAGACATTGGTCGGAGTAGGGCTAGACTCTCTCTATAGTAGACGTATTTTAGAATCTTGAGGGGAATCCCAGAAGGGAAAGTCCAAAGCGGACAATATTTACTAGGGGTGGGCTTGGAGTGTTACAAATGGTATTAGAGCCAGACACTGGGCGGTGTGACAGCGAGGACGCTGGCCCTCCATGGAGGGTGGATTATGAGATCCCACGTCGGTTGGAGAGAGGAATGAAGTATTCCTTATAAGGTTGTGGAAACCCCTCCATGCGTTTTAAAACCTTGAGACTGACGGCTATAGGTAATGGGCTAAAGAGAACAATATTTGTTGGCGGTGGGTTTGAACTGTTATAAATGGTATCAAAGTCAATCATTGGACAGTGTGGGACACTAGTTGGAGTAGGGCTAGACTCTTTTCATAGTAGACTTATTTTAAAACCTTGAGAGGAAGCTCAAAAGAGAAAGCCCAAAGCGGACAATATCTACCCGCAGTAGGCTTGAGCTGTTACAAATGGTATTAAAGTCATAGACTAGGCGGTGTGCCAGTGAGAACGCCGGGCCCCCAAGGGGGGTGGATTTTGAGATCCCACGTTTGTTGGAGAGGGAAATGAAACATTTCTTATAAGGGTGTGGAAACCTCTTAGAAAGGAGTATGTAAACCTCTCTCTACTAGATGCATTTTAAAATTGTGAGGCTGATGGCGATACGTAACGGGCCAAAACGGACAATATCTACTAGCGGTAGGCATGAACCGTTACACTAAGCAACAAAATCGAGACATTTCTCAAAACAAATAGACGTCGTTGGGAATATTGTAAAGAAACTGACTCTTTTCGTACCCGCGTACCCCGATAACTTACGTGCATGTTTGTAGTGGTAAAAACTGAGGTTTTCTTGTTTGTTTAGGATGGAAAAGGTTGATATTAGGAGAGTTTCATCTTGGGCAAAGATCATAGGAACTGCAGTGACAGTGGGAGGAGCAATGACAATGATCTTTGTCCGACACCCAACCTTAAGATTTGGTTGGACAAAAGGAGCTGACTCCCAACATCACTCATCAACTGCTGCAAACAACCAAGATTACCGTTTCAAAGGTGTCATTTTGGTCACAATTTCTTGTGTTTCCTCTTCACTTTCATGCGTTCTTCAGGTAATTTTAAAATTAAGAACAGACAATGCAAGCTTAAGCTGTTAATTAACAAACAAAATGTTGTTTCAGGCAATTGTGTTGAAATCATATCCTGTGGGGCTGAGTCTCACTGTTTTGGTGAGCTTAGTGGGAGTTGTGGAAGGCAGTGTGATAGCTTTGGCAATGGAATGGAACAACCCAGCTGCTTGGTCAATTCATTTTGATTTTCAACTCTTGGCCATCCTTTATGCTGTAAACTTCATTTACTTCTTGCTTTATTCTCTTTCTAGTTCCTTAATTCTAGAGATGTCCATGAAATCGAGATCCCTCCTCAATAAGAACGGGATGGAGAATCCCTGTTTAAACGGGAAATGGGGAGGAAGCAAACAAAGATTTCTCTCATTTAATTAAACGAGAAATGGGGACTGTGAGATCCCACATCAACTGGGAAGGACAACAAAACACCATTTATAAGGGTGTAGAAACTTGTACGTAGCAGACGCGTTTTAAAAATCTTGAGGGAAAGCTCAAAGAGGAGAATATTTGCTACTGGTGGGCGTGGGCTGTTACAAATGGTATCAAAGTCTGACACGGGGCGATGTGGCAATGAGGAAGCTGAGCCCTGAAGGGGAGTGGACAACACGAGGCGGTGTGCCAACAAGGAAGTTGGACCCTGAAGGGTGGTAGATTGTGAGTTCCCACATCGATTGGGGAGGAGAATGAAACACCCTTTATAAGGGTGTGGAAACTTCTGTATAGCAGATGCGATTTAAAAATTTTGAGGGGAAGCTTGAAAGGGAAAGCTCAAAGAGGACAATATCTGCTAGTGGTGTGCTTGGATTGTTACAAATGGTATCAGAGCCTAACACTAGGCGATGTGCCAGCGACAAGGCTGAGCCCCGAAGGGAAGTGGACACAAGGCAGTGTACCAACAAAGATGTTGAACTCCGAAGGGGTGGATTGTGAGATCCCATATCGATTGGGGAGGAGAACAAAACACCCTTTATAAGGGTGTGGGATGTTGAACTCCGAAGGGGTGGATTATGAGATCCCATATCGATTGGGGAGGAGAACAAAACACCCTTTATAAGGGTATGGAAAGCTCTCCGTAGCAGACGTGTTTTAAAAATCTTGACAATATCTGCTAGTGGTGGGCTTGGACTATTACAAATGGCATCAGAGCTTGACACCGGGCGATGTGCCAGCGATGAAGCTAAGCCTCAAAGGGGGTGGACATGAAGCAGTGTACTAGCAAGGACGCTGGCCCCAAAGGGAGTGGATTGAGGGGTCCCACGTCAATTAGAGAAGGAACAAGTGCCAACAAAGACACTAGATGGGACCCCATGTCGATTGGAGAGGAGAACAAAACACCATTTATCAGGGTGGAGAAACTTCCATAGCAAACGTTTTTTAAAAATCTCGAGGAAAAACTCAAAAAAGACAATATCTTCTAGCGGTAGGCTCGGGACAGGATGGAACCCAAAAAGGACAGTATCTTCTAGCGGTGGGTTCGAGCCGTTACATGGAGATTATATTCTCCATATCCACTCACATAAGTAATTTATTATACATATTTGTTTCTTTAATTATAATAAAATATAGATATTATTCATTAAAATTTTGTTTGAAATGAATGTTTTGCAGGGAATATTAATCTCAGGGCTTTCATACTACGTTCAAGGAGTTGTAATGGAAGCAAAGGGAGCTGTGTTTTTGACAGCATTTTTCCCTCTAAGCACTGTCATTGTTGCAATCATAAGCTCATTCGCAGTGTCTGAGATATTGTCCTTGGGAAAGTAAGTGAGTTAAGCAACAACTAATGGTTAGGTTTAATGGAAATTAACGGTACTAACTGAGGGTTTTCCAGGATTGTGGGAGCAGTCATCATAATTCTAGGTCTTTATTTGATTCTCTGGGCCAAAACCAAAGATCAAGCTCTTGACAAGGCAGCTAATGCAGTCAGTGATGTTGCTCGGCCAACGACCAACCGTTCCGTTTGAATAGCGAGACCCCATCTGATAACTATTATGTTCTCGGTTCTTGTTTTAGAAAAAATTATGTTCGTTTTTATAATAACGTCAAGATTAAACTACAAGTACGAGTATACAAAAGTAATCAATATGCAAAACTTGACCATCACGTACGAGTGAACTACAAAAATATTTTAAATTTTCATGAAATGGAGTTACGAAGCATTGCCCGACTCGAGAAGAGATGCAAGTAAGAGGACATTGCAAAACCATGGGATTAAACCCTAATTTTGAAAAAAATTGAAAGTCACTAACTAAATCAATAAGGTGCACCTTCTTTTTCGTTGGTTCAATCATAAATTTTTTTATGGTAAAAACGTATTTTACTTGGAGCAATTCTATGTTCAGTGACCCCTTAGAAATTGTCATGGAATCCTAGAAGGCTCGTGTTGTTCTCAAGGATAGTCTTCACTCTTAAGAAGCGAGAAGTAGGTAATATAACCATGTTTCAGGGAAATGTCAGGTGTCACAGTCTTACTTTTTCAACCGTGCAACGTCGTGATCTTGACACATTCACAACCCCTTTAAGAGAAACTCAAGCCGCACATACATTTTTCCTCTGGCTTTGTAGCTTCGTTCAACCTTAGGCAAGACAAGTGCCAAATTCATATTTCGAATTCTGATATAAATTCTGGGTATCGAGCATTACAAGGTAACCACCACTATAGGATGTTACGTACAACCATAAAGCTACAAACGACCTAACCACGAGCGACCTCATTGTAATGTATACCAAGGCATAACCACCAAGAATACATGATGGAATAAAAGATGACCATTGCTATAGGATGAAGTTGCATAGTAAGAAATATTATTGTCTACAAATTCAAACTTATCCATTTATAAATTAAAATGTAAAACCTTCGGTATAAAAGTTAGCCTGTCGTCATTTTAATTAAGAAAAATAACTGTGCATGCCAGCTCATTATATACCGTTTGACTATTTTTAATTGTTAATTATTAAACTTGATTCAAAACTAATCCACCTAAAAAAACAAGTGAAAGCTGACGTTAAAACACTTGTCCCAAGCTAATCAACCATAAACAAACAAATAAGTGTTAAGTGTTTCCATGTTAATCCTTGGTCGTGTTTTTATTTATTTATTTATTTATTTATGGATGACAAATAGGGATTAAAAAATGTTCCTTCAATATCTTATAACGACGTTCTCGACCATAGAATTCAGCTGGAGGGATCAACTCGGTGGCTCCTTTGAGTAAGGTCGTGCAAAGGAAGTACTGTTAAAATATCATCACTAGCCCAGTAGGATTAATAAAATGATTTAGGATTTTATGAATAAATATAATTTATAAATACCGTTCACCTGATTAGTTTATCATCACAAAAGCAATACAAAATAGTTTGTAAATAGTGTTTTGTAAATCTCTTTTCCATTGGTCTTAATAGACTGGACAAGTGTTTCCCACAGATAGTTGTGTTCAACAAATACTAGAGATAGCGCAACACTTCCCATGGAGGCTCATGCAAACCATTAAGTCGAGTAATTCTTAACGAAAATGTCTCATACCAATAGAGAAGACGTTCTTTACCTATAAACTCATGATCTTCCCTTTAATTAGCGGACGTGAGATCATTACTCTTCTCAATAATCCTCAACAATCCCCTCTCGAACAAAGTATTCCATAGAGCATGTGAGATCCCAGATCGATTGGAGAGATGAACGAAGCATTCTTTACGAGGGAAAGACCAAATAGGATAATATCTGCTAGGAGTGGGCTTGAGCTGTTACAGAGCCTCTCCATAGGCTTTCTTAATTCTTTAAAGCTCTCGAACAACCTCCCCTTAATTTATTATAGACATAGCCTTTGTTCTTAGTTTCTTTTTTTTTTTTTTTAATTTTTTTAAATGTATAAATTAATATTTATATCCACAAGTATTATTCTTAAATCAAAATGTATCGCTCTTTATTTGGGTAGCTATAATAAGTTTAATTAAACATTAATTTAAATTAAAATCTAAAAGAGTAGTAAAGTCATCTTCGAACTCTACTTATTTATTTATATTAAAATAAATATACTATCTATATTTAATTATTAATTATTAATTATTTTTCAAAGGGTTTTATTATTATAATTTAAAATTTGGAATTTGAGAATAAGTTAATAAATAAATTCATTGTTTTTTTCTCCAAAGTATGATGAGATGGATGGCAATTGCAATGGTTGTCTCCTAATCATCCCCCTTTCATATTTCATGGAAATATGAGATGGATGCCATTTCTCAACTTGTTAAACTATCAATAAAATATTAAATTTATTTTAATTACGACATTTCAAGACACAAATTCTAACAATCTCTCAAAAATATATATCTTATTATATACTATATATATTTAATATGTGATATGTTTTGTGTCACAGCTCGATTTTCGAGACTTCAATTTTCGAACTATAACGAAAAAGATGAAAACAAAGGCAAATAACATGAAATACGGTAAAGTTTTGTGTAATTTAAAACAAACAACACCATTATTATTGTGATATCTCACATTGGTAGTAGACGTGTTTTAAAACTTTGAGGGAAAGTCCCAGGGGGACAATATCTGCTAGCGGTGGACTTGGGTCGTTACAAATGGTATTAGAGCCAGACATTGAGCAATGTACCAGCGAGGAGGTTGTTCCTCGAATGAGGGCAGACACGAGGCAGTGTGCCAATAAGGACCCTGGGCCCCGAGTGGATTTGGTGGGGATCCCACATCGATTGAAAAAATGAACGAGTGCCAACGAGGACGCTGGGCCCTAAAAGGGGTGGATTGTGATATTCCACATTGGTTGGGGAGGAAAACGAAACACCATTTAGAAGGGTGTGGCGTTTTAATAAAGCCCAAAGAGGGGAAGCCCAAAAGAGGACAATATTGGCTAGCGGTGGACATGGGTCGTTACAATTAAATAATTTTTTTTAAAAAAATAAATCAATATGATTATGTTTATTTTTAGTTTTTTTAATAAAATTGATTTACACTAACTCTCCCTAGCCATTATTACATGTACATTTGTACAAATTAAACAAAAAAAAATTAGGGTCAAACAATTTGGAACTTTCTTGGCCACAAATTTATTATTATTATTATTATTATTATTTTGCTACAAATTAAGAGTGTATTTAATGTTTCTTTCTTGATTTCCAATTATTTTAGGCCACAAAATGAGATGAAATTAACTAAAAAAAGCAATTTTTTTTGGCCACGAATTTAAGTGGGTTTAATTTGTTATATGTTTGGCCATAAAATGAAATTATTATGGGATATAATCATCATTAAAACTATATGCTATAAAAAAAAATACATGTAACGATATAAAAAAAATAATTAATGGAAAATAGAAAAATAATTAGTTAAATAGGACAATAATTGATGAAGTGGGTTAGTTGAAAAATTAAAGCAAATTGGCTAAAAGGTAGAAGTAGTCGCTGTTAAATGTACATCCATCACTTATTGTTCCCAATACGCCAACACTAGTTTGTTAATTTCCCACCTTAAACACCAACCCCTTTCTTTAATATATAATCTTGTACCCTCTATTATGGGTACGGCGTTACCATACATTAACTTTAATACGTCACTCAATCATATAAACTTTAAAATTAAGCGTATTTCACTTAGAACGGTTCGATGTTTTTTTTCTAAGAAGAGGCTAAAAAAGATGTTTTTTTTTTTAGTTTATGAGATAGTCATCATTTTATAAGCAACGTGTCAGATGAACACGACTCTCCACAATGGTATGATATTGTTCACTTTGAACATAACCTCTCGTGGGTTGGCTTTGTGCTTCCCAAAATGCCTCGTACCAATGGAGATAGTATTCCTTGATTATAAACTCACGATCATTCTCAAGCAAAGTCATGAGGGCTTATGCTCAAAGTGGACAATATCATACCATTGTGGAGAGGCGTGTTCGTCTAACACAACGTACTCATGTCACTTTTTTTTTTTTTCGGGACGAGATCAATATTTACATAACTTTTTATAAATTAAATTTTTATATATATGTAAATTATTAATAGTATCTATTAAAAATGTAGAGAATCATGTAAAAAATTATTATACTTTAACTCATCCTCTAAATTTTAGAATTTAAATATTATATATAAATATTAAAAAATATTATTATTGTTATTTAGTATAGGTAGATTTGTTTTAGTATACATAAAACATATTCTGAGAATATTCAGTAACAGTCAATATCAACCTTATACCAAGATATTCTTAAGAATATTCATTAACAGTCAACATCATCATCTTTTTCATGATTTAACTAATTTTTTTTAGCTTTATTAATTTTGAAATTGGCGTCAATTTAGACCAAATGTAAATGTTTTTTTTTTTTCCACGAATCTTGCTCGGTGAATATAATCATTTTGACTCGTACTACTAGTTTGAATAGAATCATTGTCTCGAGATTGAAAATGTCGCATCTTTATGTGATTCATTTATCGGAAGTCTAGATATTTTATATGTGTTTTGCATATTAGACTTATTACGAATGTTAATTATGACATCCGAGTAAATGAATGAACCGAGACTGAAAAGGAATGACTCGGGTTGGTTTGTGATGATAGTTTTCACTCTTAAAACCGATAAAGTAAGTAACCTACCTTATTTAATTTTCAAAATATGAACTAGTTTTTGAAAATATTAATAAAAATGAAAGAAAAACAATTTTATAACATTAATTTTTTAAAACTAAAATAGTTATTTTAAATTTTTAGCAAATTATGAACAAACTTACTAAAGTAAACTTTGGAATGTCTTTTCAAAAGAGGAAAAGACCTTTAAGCCCATCAAAATCCATTGTTTGGTCCACTTCCTTGAACCGCTGAACCGCTCATGTGCTTTCAGAAGAATCTCTTATGTATATTGTAATAACTTTTGGGAAATAAAATTATTTTTTTAAATAAAATTATTTTTTTTGTACAAGCATCTACTTATAAATATATATATATATATATATATAATATAAAGTGGGTTTAAAATAATTTCTAAAATAATTTCAAAGA